AAAAGTCTTTAAATTTCAAGTCTATAGGCAAACAGTAAAAAATTTGATGGCAAAATTAGCTGAACTCTGAAGTGATTCATGTAGACTGATCTTGCAAACACAAGCTGTGCTTAAGCATAAGAATCAGCATAGATAGGATTAGGAACAGCCATTGAAAAGGTGTCTTTTCATTTCATTAGGATTGTTTTTACGTGTAAGGAACAATTTAATATGTGTTTGGCAGAATCTCACACAACAGTTGCAAGGGGATGAAAAAATACTGCAGTATCGAGTATTTCACCCTTCTATTAAAGCAAGGCTAAAACCTGCAATTCCTCCCCTCTAATAATGAAAAAAACCCTACATAAACAGGTCCAGGTTTAAGTCTGTTTAGACAGACCTCCTGTTATTGCTGCATGTATGTCTGCTTGAGCATTTAGGTTTGTCTCAAAAGACAAGAAGGAATCTGTTAAGCTCACAGTCAATGAACTCTGTTTCCAAATTCTCCAAACAGAATATTAAACTACCCATGCTTTAATTTACATTATTAATACAAAAGATGAGGATGAGGACTACTGACTTAGTCCCTCTGATATCTGGCTCCCTTTCCCAAGGCTGATTAAACAGTCAAGTTAAGACAACAGAAGAAAGGACCCAAGCTGACTTACCTCCACTTTCAGGAGTGCGCAGCCTTTCAAGAACTCTTGAATATTACTGATGCAGTCTGCTTCATTTTTAGGCTCCAGGCAATACTAAAGAAAGAAAACCCACTGAGCTCATTGCATTACCTCCCGTGTCGCCTGTGCGGAGAGGGCCTGCATGAATATTGACATGTGCGTTTTATACTGAATTAGGGAAGCTTCTTCAGGGGGCGGGAGGGGGTGGCAGGCAAGCTGTCGAAGCAGGAAGAAAGCCACTGGAGGAAGTGATGAATACATCGAAATGGTCGGCATCTTGTTTTAAATCTCCACATATGACAGTGCCCTGAAGTGACAGTGGGAAATTGATGACCTTTAACAACACACTGCCCCAAACCATCACATGTAAACAAAAGATAAGGAGCTGGCAAAACTGATCTTTGCATAATTTAATAAAGGCTGCTGTTTTATAGGGTGGATAACCTGTTGTGGTGGTTTTTTTAATGAAACAGCTTCTCTTTTGTGTTGCCAGTTCCTATCTGTCATTGGACTCCTTTCCTTTTTTTCTCCTGCAGTTTCTTATCATGCTTTTGGACTGCAAATACACACCTCATGAAACTGTAACAGGAGGCACTCACGTGGCTTCAGTACCAATGGATCTGCTGGCTTTGGGACAGATCAAACAGCCCGGATGCAAGGGTTATTGTTTATTCCTGCCCTAATCTGCTTCTCCAGTGTATTTCCTAACAAAGCATTTTGCAGTAAGACTTCTGAAAGAGTGAATATATTTACAGTCAAAATTAACGATATTTACGTAAATACAGACAAACTGCATATCCTTCTATTCAAAGCCAAGATATTCTGATCTCTGGTAGGTCCAGTATTTCCTGCCACTGAACGAACACGTGTAACCTGGCCAAGTGCAACCTCGTGGGTTTTTTTTTCTGGACGTAGAGACAAAATCAAAGAACTAAATCTACAATCACACTTTACTGTGTTAGAAACTTAAATGTAAAACATTTATCCCCCATGAAGCTCCTCTCACCAAAGGAAACCAGACACGAAATGCCCAGGGCAGTGCTTCTCTGAGCAGGGCTCTGTCTCAGGGCAGTGAAATGCATTGGAAAGCATTACCTTTTCTGCAGATCCCGGAAGAAGTCGGTTAATGAGTTTACAAAGCACTGTTCCATCTTTCAGAGAAGTTTTCAGGAACTCCTCTGGATCATCTACTATTTTCTTGGGGGAATTTAAGACTCCCAATGAAATAAGCCACGTTACAGTTTGTTCTTCTGGATTCATGGTGGAGAGCTGTGCCGCTGGCGCCGTCCTGTGCAGCAGCGCGCTGGAACCCACATCCGTGATTGCATCTTCCTGCCTCTGCTGCTGCTTGCACAGCTCAAGTGTGAAACTACTTTTTTTTTTTTTTTGGCTCGGCACAGAAACTCACCAAATCTTAGGAACCAGTAGTTCCTCTAAGGTAAGAAACTCTTTTAAAAATAAAATAGTTCTTTGCACTCTGTTAAGAGACAGAGCAAGTAGATTTTTAACAACATTTTCAGCATTATTGAGAAGTATTTCATGTGAAATACTTATTGCACCAAAAATATCTCATCTAGTGATGTGGCAGCTGGCACCTATCACCTGGTGAACTTGGTCTGAACTTGGGGTTATTACCCAAAGCAGTTTTGTCAATACTGTAAATAATGAGGTATTCATTGTTAAACCTGAATTCACAGTAATGATGATTTGAAGGAATGTCACATTAACCTTAAATAAACATTTTCAATTTTATGTGGCAGCCCTAGTTATTAAAATTGCCTTTTCCAGTAGTTTTTGATTATCTGGTTTTTAAATTCTGATAATGCACTTTATACACAAATAATGGTTTTTTTAACTATTGTGTTCAAGTGCACAGATAATACAAAATGGTTTTCTTGGAAGATCCTAATTTCTCATAACATCTGGACAACTTCAAAAAGATCAGAAATTTAAGTGATCCAAAGCTGAGAATGAAACTTCCCAACTATTTCACTTGTCCTATTAGGATGTCCCTTTCCACCAGCTCTTCAGGATCCATTGTAGGCAGTACCATCAGTTTTCCACCCTGCTCGGGGCAGTACTAACCATCACTACTTATCACAGCAATTCAGAACAGTCCAGTCATCTCAACTGTCCTTTCACCACAACAGATGGAAAATGAAGCAATTCTGTTGACGATGCCAAAGAAGTTGGAACATCATGGATTGAAGCAATCCAACAGAACAAATTATCCTGGAGACCAGAATTTCTTGGTGACAATGTTCTGAGCCAATTCCTCACCCTGTTACTTGAACGAACTGTTTTCAAGGCATCAGCGTTCCCAAATTGTTTAGGCCTGTGACTTAAAGGGTAGGGAGAAACGGAAGAGCAAAAGGATAAACTGTACACCGTGAATGTGCATGGATTTGTGTCTCTGCTTTCCAGGTGTTATGATTGGTACTGGGACCTACCTAAGGGCCATTTTTAACAGCCACCAGTAAATCAGAACTGCCATTTCAGGGTTAGACACACCTCTGACCTTTTCTAGGACCTGGGGATGAATTCCAGTTCTCCATTGTGTGGAAATACTCGTTAGCACAAGGCTGCAGCCAGCACAGCATGAACAGTAACACTGGATGCGGCTCATCACAACTCACTGCCCTCTCCTGAGGCACATCTACAACTATCAGTGTGTGCAAAACATTTCAAAATTATGACTAATTGCAACTTTAGTTGTTTTTTCTTTTTCCAGTTCTGATGAGCACTACTGTTTTCAGTGTTTTAGTGTTTTGCAAAATGGAGACATGCAGTTTCGGTTTTCATAGTTTCTTTTTCCAAATCCGTAGTAGACAAGGTAACTGCTAATGCTCACTGATCAGCTGGGGACAAGCATTTTGATACGGAAGACACTTCAATCACCTCATCAGAACACAGCAGTTTCTTACGTAAAGAGCAAGAGAGATACTTCCAACACTCAGAAAATTGCACACCGGCTTCATACCTGAACACCAAAGTACCTCACCCACCCCTTCTCTAAAGCAAACCTTTTGTGTTGAAGGGCAGGTTTAGTCTCAAGACTGTTTCATATTCAGCTATCGCAGATGTTAGTGGTTGCAACCACAATTAAATGAAAATACTTCCCACATCTTGAACACTTACCAACTGCTTAAAAGACCTGCAGACAGGCATATTCAGACAGCCCCAAAATTTATGGGGTTTGTGATTAGCCACCTGAAGACCAACCTTCCATCTTCTATAAAGGACTCATCTAAATACATTGCAGCTTGTTCACTGACTTCCACAATGAAATTAATTGTGACAAACCCAGAGTATGAAGGTAAAGCGATTCGGGAAGGAACAGTGCCTGGTCTGGTCTTTGGGAAGGCTTCAACTTTGGTTATTTGCTGACAGGGACAAATCAGTGAATTACCAATCATCTCTTGCAGAGTCAACTTAAGTTATGTAATTTGCAGCCTGATTTACACCAGTGATGACTAAACAGCACAGTGTTATTTATAAGGTAAAAATAAAAGGGGGCATGTGTCCTATAGCCAATTACCAAGCAACTCTGACAGCACACACATCAGAACAGCACAGCAACGGGACCAAGTTAAGAACAGTCACACATTCAAAACCCATTTTGAGTGGTTCTCCTCAAAGTCACTCACGTTTATGTAATTCCCCCTTTTTTTCCCAGCACAGAGAGAAAACACCCAGCACAAAGACCATCACTGGAGTTATCTGTGTGCAGCAGAATCTACTGATACATTTTAACTCGTGGCTTTCAGTGATAAAGTTTGACATGCACCACTAATTTAAATCAGGGACACATCCTCATTATTTAGCATTTGAAGCAGGTATTATTTTTTTTTACGATAGCTGCCATGTTGGCATTACATTTTACATAGGATGATCCACCTCAGCATAAACAACAGCATCCAGACTATAAGCTACTGCTGAAATAAGAGTCTCTTAACAGTACAGCATGTTATTCTTTCTTGCAGAAAAGACACAGAGACCACTTTAGAGCAATAATCCTCCAAGATGGAACCCTCGGAATCTTTTCCACCATAAGTCTCTGAGCAATACATATTTTTTTTACTTTAGCAAAAAAAGCAAAACTGATGCTGGGGTTTTTTTTTAAACAGTAAATTTATTAGCCCTGGCAAGTACTGCAATTCTACCCATCTGCTACGTACTTGCAGACTTATTCCTAGAATCTGCAGCCCGTAACTGAAGTGTAAAGTGATATCCTCATCCCAAAACTCAAAGACTTAAATCTGTAGACAACGTATGCATGCTTTTTCTTCTTTAGCTACACATTATGAACTATTTCTTAAATGAGATCACTTCATGTCTATCACGAAAGTCAGTATAAACTTTATTATCAGTGATTGTTTTAAGTACTTCAGTTGATCTGAAGTTAAAGAGTTTTCTACGTGAAGTACCAGTGCCGATCATTCTTCTCACATACACTGGTACATCAACATGTATCCAAGATAAAAACACATCAAAACCTAGGCAAAGTTTTGAAGAAAGCACCTACTTGCAAGGGATGCAGTGCTGTCTGGAGTACATACACCACACTAATTATTCTGGGGATTTATCACTAACATTGCCTCAGTACATCAACACCTCCTTCCTCTCATCCAGAAGGCCTGGACAGAACTGTTAATGTAATAATATAGAACTTCTAGTGGTTTCTTGGTGAAGAAGCACTTGTAACACTTTAGTCCTCTGTGTTTTAGAGGACCAAGACTAATTTCTGTACAACTTGCTCTTTTTTCAGCATTAAATGGCAAGCACACGTGCGAAGGGAACCCGAGTACTTCTCTGCTGCAGAACGTACTGCCGTGTGTGCGCTGACCAGCCCGTGGGCTCCCTCTGGACTCTGGGATGATGTCAGCTATGGCACACAGCAGTTGGCTTCCACCAGAATTTTTCTGTATATCCAAGAGATTAGTAGTGCTACTTTCAAAGGCAACTCCTGAATGCTAACACAACCCTCTAGAACCAATGGTGGGCAACACCACACTCAAAATCCAGGCTGTAGCAGTTGTGTTTTGCTATCCTTCCATTTTCCAACGCATATCCACTGCTGCACTGCCACCTTCTAGTCACCGTAACTGAAAAAAGGAAACACAAGTTAGTCTCCTCTTGAGAGGCCAGAAGACAAAAAAGCTAAATCATTTTTAAATTATTTTTATATACACAATGAATTCATTTGGTTTGTATTCTATCTGTCCCAAGAATATGAAAGTACATCAACAGCCATCTCACATCTACAATTTTAAACCATTCCAGAGATGCCTGAAGTCTAATACAATCCAAAGACCTCTGCAGAGATCAATTCCTGATCCAAAATTATACTCAGTATAACTGCTCACCCTGCACATTTAACCAGACTGATTAAATGTCTATACTGACACCTCTTATTAAAAATTCATATTTTTATGGTCTGCTCTTGCAAAAATTCATAGACTAAGTACTCTCTGCATATGATTTGAAGTGCATTTGTAAACGTTTTTGCTCAGCTGCACTCAAATGGGACCCCTTTTTGCAATGAGTAGTCTCTCACTGCCATTCCTGACTGGTCAGCTTATAAAGCCTACTTAAACCTCCCCCTGCAAACTTCAAACAGAAGTCAAAAATATTAATTAGACATGAAGATGTTCCATCCAAACCTACAAACACAATCTTTCTTCCAGCTACTACACTGCTGTAATATTTACCTTATGCACTGGCACAGGCATCACTCATCTCTGCCATCATCGCAAGTGAACCAGCATTATTCCAGTGGTATCTTCTGGAAGTTATCACCCTGCAACTAAGAGAAGATATAATAAACTGAGAAAAATACATTTTACAGCACATGTCAACATATAATGCTTCCCCCCATTTCAAAAGATGACAAAAGCTTGGGTTTGCAGATTAGTCTGTTGCAAGTTTTACTACTTCTTTAAGTGGTGGAAGGTTCACTGGCTTGGAATGGACTGGGATGGTTTAGAGATAAGTTGCATGGCTTATGGATTCTCACTCCTTTTCAGTGGTGCACTGCCATGTTAAATCCATAAGTTGAATGACAAAATTTACTGAGGACTAAACAGTAGTACAAAGGTTTTGGGTTTGTGGTTTGGTGGTTTGTTTTTTTTTTAGTTGGAGGTCTTCATGTTTACTATAGTCAAGAGCATCTTTTGAACTTCATGGCTTTACCAGAGCCATAACAACTTGCCACAGGTTCTGCCACATGTACCGGGTATCCCTGCCACGCAGTGTCAAACTAAACAGAGTCAGGTATCCAACTAAATGTCAAGTTTGCAATGGCTTGATTCAAACTCCCACTAGTCAAGCTGGTTGTCAATCTAAACCCATTTCTGATTTCACAAGGCTTTAATTTTGCTAGAATACTGTATATGCAGCCTCTTTAAGCATCTTCACTGAAACATACTGGGCACAAAATACCCCCTCCCAACCCTACGTGGCAATATTCTTTCTACAGCGAGCTGCATTACACCTTTAGTTTCAAAATTGGTGCCATAAATGCTTTTATCCAAGAAGAAATGTTGAATTTGGAGAATTTCTAACGCACTGGAGTATTTTTTTTTTAAATCTAGACAGCACTTCCATTGCCATGACATGCAGCTTGTCTTACTGTACTAGAGGAAGGTAAATTGGTTTAATTTTGACTTAGACTGAAAAACTAGTTTGCTTTGCTTACCATCTTTGCTGTTTCACAGGCATTTGATGCTTTAAATCAGCTGTGGAATGCTGAAAGATTCACTTGTTTTTAGGAAGCCATAAGCCTTTGAGAAGTTGGAGAGAAAGACTTCTTTGCTTATCTTATTTTCTCCTTTGGAATCAAAGATGTTCCTTTAAAAGTGAAACACTACAGAGTTGCAAAAATTTGAAACAGTATGAGTAAGCATCGTTTTGCAGCTTCTTTGATGGAACTGGTCAATGGTTTGTGGGGTTTGTTTGTTTTTTAAACAGTAGTCTGTAGCTGACTTACATGTACATGACTTATTTGGAAGGGAGATCTTTTTGAACTCCCTATGAAACAGGAGGAAGGCAGAAAATAGTATTATCCACTTGCTTTTTCAGATTAACTGAATGAAATCCTCTTTTCCTTTACACAAGGATCTGAAGGCATTTAGTACTGGGAACACTGTGACTTCAAATTCTAGGCACAACTGTGTGGAATCATCCCCACCACCCTCCAAATCACAAGCAATACTTTCAGAATGAGATGCTGAACATGTAGAACAATCCATCTCCATGTCAGATGGCTGGATGTTGTGTGGAAGATCTTAAGAACTGCTTTTTCCATTCATGACGAAAATCAGATGGGAAGTGTGGCATTTCAGGGAAACTTTACTTTGAAAATTACAACACTAGTACACAGCTCAAGTTTATACATTTAACATCTGCTTTCTGAAAGAAATGTTAACAATTTTGAAATGAAATTAAACATTGTTTGAACTTTGCTTCACAAAAGCATAAAGTCATGGAGGGGAAAACTTAACAGGCAACAATAAAAAAAGGTTAAAAACAACTTTTTGTTTTAGTAGTCCTCTGGTAGTAAAGATAGAACAACTTCCACGTTTGAGAAGTAATCTGTCTTGGTCCAAAAGTTTAAGAGTGTTTTTAGTATCTGCTTCTGCCTCCACCCCTATCGGATCTGCTTCCGCCACGGCCACCGCCTCTGGGTGCTCCGCGGCTTGAACTACTGTAAGAATCTCGAGGAGGTGGGTAGCCCCTTTCCATGGAGGGGGGGAGACCCCTGTCTTGTCTTCCGACACGATCACGGCCACTTGAGTAGACATCACTTCTGCTGCTTGAGTAACTTTCTCGGCTTCCATATCCATCTCGTGTGCTGCCGTAATCATCATACCGACTGCTTCCACCATATGATGGCGGGGGCCCTCGTGCAGGTGGAGCACTACGTGAGTTACCTGCAGGGTCAATGGTCAGGTAATACGGCAACACCATGAGTTATATAGAACAATTTCAATCTGAATTTACAGAACTGCTGTATTTAAATGTTTACTGCTACTCTTTTGTATGTATTGAGATGTTCTTAATAGAATCTGCCACATTAATGGTACTTAAAGTGGGGACTGCGTATCAGGCAGTGAGTGGATTTAAAGATTCTGAAGGAATGAAGACGGTGTTTGTTTATTCAGGCAGGCTCTTTACTGGGATTTCCAGAACAGCTTGTTATTTTAGAGAAGAAACTCAGCCATATTTTCCAGAGACAGTTGTAATTCTGAACTGTAGACTTTGCTTCTTTAGCTTATAGCTTATTTAACAAGATGATCAAATGATAACCAACAACTGCACTTTCACTGTAGGGGAAAAAAAGTGTGCCACTTCCCCCTAAAGCAAGCAACCTAGTAAAAATCAGATTTTATGACACCTGTACAATTACATGATCCTCAAAATGGATTCTTACCATAACTCTCATATGAATCTCTGTAGGAGCCTCCACTTGGATGATCCGAGTAGTCTCTGTCACGTCCACCACCGTATCCATCACGATCGCTATAGGAGGAAAGACTACTAAGACTTAGTACAGATCAGTAACATAACAGCAAGAACAAAGTGACAAGGAGAAAAATCCAACAGTAGGTACCTATATCCCCTGGAGGGGTATTCATCACGTGAACTGGAATGACCATAGTCACGATAAGCATAGTCTCGTGGAGGTGGTGCGTAGTCCCGTGTGTCCCTAGAACTGGGGTAATCTCTGCTTGAATAACTACAAAGAACAAGAACTGACACATTAGCTATGTCACATTGCAAAAGATCAGAAATCAACACTCTTCTCTGAATAAAAAAAAACCACCCCAACAAAAACAGGAAAAGAATTTACCCATCTTTAGTGCTATAGCCATCATCTCTTGGAGACATGTAGACATCTCTCCGTGATGGCATTGGTTCTCTGCGTGGAGGACCACCATAACCATCTCTTCCACGTGACACAGGAGCTGAAGAGAAGCAGTCCAGATCTTTAAACTTAATTAGCATTTAGTCAGAAAAGAGACTCTTGGCAAGTATTAGTAGATTGTTTAGAGCAATTTAAAAGTATCTCTGTAGCCCACATTACAGCACTTTACATTTCTGCTTGTACAGTTTAAAATCAGCACTAAAAGGAGCATACTCAAATCACACCAAGTTGTTCCCAACAGCTACAAAATTATATTGGTATGAAATGAATTAAAAATTAGAAAAAATATACCAATCCCACTGTAGGCTGAAGTTAGAATCAATGATTTGCATCAGCTTCTGAAGGAAAACTGGTGCTACAGCTGACCAAGCAACTAATTAAGTCAAAGTCCTTACCTCTTCCTCCCATGCTACTGCTACGCACTGGTCCCGAAGGTGCCGATCTTTTAGGTGGAGGGCCTCCACTTCGTGGAGGTGGACCTCTCTTCATGGGAAGTGGCCCTCGAGAAGACCCTAGAGGAATAAGCCATGAACCAACTTATTATTTCTGTGATACTCAACTGCATGACCCTAAAGCCTGAACTACAGTAACCTAAGTGCCATTATTACCACTATGTGACCAACAGTAAACCGCTAAAATTAGATCTCTCAAAGCCTTGTCTTCTAGCCCATACTAAATGCTACTGGTAGAATTGAGAGCCACACTTTCCACAGCCTAAACTCCTGTCAAGAAATTGTCTTTTAGAACTTATCCAAAAGTCACAGGGTGTGACAGAAGGGGAAAAAAGACAGCTGATATCTGTAATCAGTCACAGCTTAAATACTCAACAAGTTACTGTTCTCAGAAGACAAGAGCCACCTGGGAAGATGTACTAGGTAAGAGCCTACAGAGAGGGAACAGAGGCACTACCGAGTCTGTAGAACCTACTACACAGACTCTGCAAGAGAGAAGTTTCACTATTTCCAGGGTTTTTTTCTGCATTACAGCTTTTACTGTTATACCTCAGGCGCTGCTTGCTTGGTCTTAGAGAGCTTTGTTTTGATACTGAAGTCTGAATCAATACCTATATCTTAAGGAATATCCAGTATCAAGTAATGTACTATTGTTCCACTTCAGAAAGCTTCAACTCAACACACTATTTTGTAACAACAAACAAGGCTTAGCTGCCCTAACTCCCAATATGATTTAGAATGATCAGCCCTAGAATTTTCTAAGTTCAGTCCTCTTGCTAGTAAGAATGAAAGACAGTTCCCTTTCCCTGGTGGAAGAGAATCACTTTTTCAACTTGAATACCAGAAAGCTTCCTTTCTCATGTGCAAGGCAGGAGTTTTGTTTTTCTTTCATAGGCAAAAGTCAAGTGGAGTGTTAGTTGTAGAAAGGAATCTTCATATTTGAAAGCCTTTTCTTAAGGTGTACTTGCCTAATCAAAAATTTTACTAAACTGCTGAAATCATATTTCATCATTTTTATAAAGAACAAGGAGTGCACTATTTGGCTGTTTGACTTTTTTTTTTCCAGTAGGATTATTGTCATCTTCCAATGGGATTGTCTTGTATGTTGTCCAAGTATATAATGAGAGAGGTCAATACATACCCAAGTGACTCCCTCTTGAAGGTGGTCCTCTCGCGCCACTTCCGCCTCTTCCGCCTCTAAGGCCCCTGGGAGGACCTCTGCTTCGGGGAGGGGGTGGCGGCCCACGCCTACCACCACTCTCAAAGGATGGCTTGGTTGCTTGTTCCACTTTAATTGCTTTCCCATCTAATGACTAAAGAAGAAGCTGCTTTACTTACTGCTCAGTCATGTTTGTATTTCTTAAATCAAGCCCCTCTTGCTTCACTATTATAGGGCTTCCATTTTATAAGTTAGAGCAACTCTAGAACTGATTTCAGTCTTCAGTATTAGTACTCAGCAGCATGTTGGGCCTAATTTCAATTTCTACAGTACTTCATTCTTGTTGTATTGATGAAAAAAAAAATACAGAGCAGCATCAGAAAGGACTTTCAGTGAAAACACAAGTGTCCAATGATTACGGCAGCCCCACGTCATTTATTCTGTAAATGAAACATGATATATGATCTACAATTTACTTTCAATTGCCACGTACTTTCGTATCAAACTAGGACTGCACCAGTAGTTACAGGATTAAGCTGAACGTAACTTAGCTTCAGTTGGGATTTCTGGCAATGGGGAGGCCGTTTAGTACATTTTCTTGATGTCCTGATAACACGGTGATCACTGACGCATTTAGAAGTAATTTCAGCATCTACACAGCAGACTGAGTATGACAATTCACCCCTTCTTTCTAGTGTTTCGAGTTGGGTTTTCAAACAAGGTGACTGTCACAATTTACTCTATCACTTGCTTTCCATGTGGTTGGGGTATTTTTGTTTGTGGGTTCTGTTGTGTGGTTGGAGGGCTTTTTTGTAGGACAAAAATGGGAGCTTTTTCTGGAATACAGATCTGCAATAAGAGGACCTCTGCAGCCTGCTGTTATACCTCGAAGGTAAGCAGGTGGTAACACATGTTGAGTAACTCAAATTTCTGTATAATCTTTCAGGCACCACATGTTTGGCAATTATGGTAGAAGTAAGATCACAAGCTCTGCTGAAATTAGGTTACTGCACACCTATCCTGGCAAATGTGGTTTATTTGCCCCTTTTAGCAGTTAAATATTTAACTCTGCCTTAAAAACTAATTAATTATCAGGCAGAAAGTTTTGTTTATTGCACTTCTTTGCTGCAATAAATTAACACAAAGAAATGCTAGTAGTGTCTTAATCTGCACTGATAGTATTTTATTGAAGCACAATATCTTTTTTTGTTCTCCACCAAAATCTAGCCCTCTCTGAACCATCCACTGTAGTAGCTCATGTATTTTGCCACCACACGTAGTCGTAGCTACTATTTGAAAAATCTGTGTGTATGTACACAGGTCCAACTTGATCCATTTGAGGGAAAAAAATAAGGAATACTAGCAAAATCATATTGGTCCTGTCTTTGACTTAATGAAAATATTTTACTTACAGAAGGTTCCTCAAAAAGCCTTTTGGCATGGCAAGCTGAAACATTTCAGCAGCATTAGTACCTCTAATCACTGGAACTTCTCAGTTTGCATCATATTGTTTTGCCATCATAATTCATACTGAGAGATGTCTCATCGTTCAGGATGAGACAGGAACAGTGGGCTTGAAGCCTTAAGCTTTGCCATCATGTCCACTGCCATCCTCAATGTCATAGCACATTCTTGACAGCTTGTTTGAAGTTTAGAAAGCAAACACCATCCCCTTCTGCTAGCATGGGTTCTGAAAACCTGCATGCTAGGTTCGAGTTCTTTTTTTATGTAGGAGGTACAGTTTTACTTATTTCTCCTCCTATTCTCTTCTGCCTTGCACTTATGCATCTGACTTAGGCAAAAGATAGGTTTCTTTGCAGACTGCTTTACACAAGCAGTTTTAAAAGGTATGCCTTAGGTCCAGAAAGACCTTTCATTAGGTCCAAGAATAATTTTTTTGTTAACCAGAAGTTGTCAAAGTTTGTCCTATTTTAAAGCAGAGGGGACAACATTTTACAGGTTCTTAGCTCAAAGACAAAAGGTCTTATCTCACCAAACAGATAAAACACAGTCCATCTCAAAATATGGGATTTTTTTCAATGAGCTGAAAGCAACAGCTGTCAACATGAACACTTATTAATTCCTGTTTAGAACCCTCATTCAGAGTGTTACAGTAGCATTTTTAGTATCATATGAGCACCAGAAAGTTGAGTCACCTTGGTGCTAAAACACATGAAAAATAATTTAAGATACAAATCATTTAAGGACAGTAATAGATTGGCAATCAAAGTCTCCTATATGTGGCATGAACAATCTGTACAGCTTTGTAAGGTGAGCCAGGGAACCTTAACCAAACACAATTAGAGAACTGTCCTGCAAACTGTTCCACATTCCAACAGAAAAGATGGTGAAATTTGTAAAATTTTGGGAGTGGGGCAGAAATCAAAGTATTTCCAAAAATTTGGATGAAACTGGACCTAACACCACACAGGGCTTTCCTCTCCAATGGATCATTTCATTGTGATGCTGCAGTGACTCCACCATTTCTGCACGTTCCTTGATGCCACAGAGTGGGTTTCCTTTCACCATATATATTCAAGAACTGAAGATCATCTCTTATCAGGCTAAGCTTCTACATTGTATATCACTTCTTCTCCAAAGGAAAAGGAAAGTCTGTCCAATTAAAGGAAGACAACCTTCTGTAGTGCTGAGTACACGTTACACTGTTTGGACTGCAGTATTTGCTTCCATCCTTTTAACAAGACCAGCTGGCTTGACAGGTCTGCACTAGAATTAAGTCTTTGGCTTGTCCTGCAGCTTTCCTTTAAGGTCATATCCTCTCTTTACTTATCCATTTCTTCCTAAGGATTTAAAATCAGAAGACTGTGAGGAACAGCCTACTGCACCGAATAACTTGGGAGTATCCAGCACACTTGTGTCCAGGTAAGCACACGCATTTCGTGACATCAGGATGCAGACTGCCACGAATTAAGCTTCTTCTTAAAGAAGGCAGATATCTGCTGTGATAAAGTACTTGTAGATTTCTTCTGTGCTGCTCAGACATGCTAACATTGATCCAATTCTGCAGACAAAGTAGTTGAAGTGAAAAATCTCCATCACACCTCCAAAATAATTCCACTGATCTTTTTCAGCAGGACTGAAACGAATTCTAGACAAGCAAGCTTTGACTAGTCTATGCTTGTCCCAATTGGGAATGAAACACAATCTCCTTCCTTTCCCCCCCACCCGGATAGGTGCGAAATGCTGGCTATACAATTTTCATGAACACTTGCAAAGTAAAAAAAAAAAAAAAAAAAAAAAATCAAATGCCAATTCACTCTTGCAGAATCTATTGAGTCAGTCTCTTCGATTGGCTACAACTTTGAATTCCCCTGGGATGACAGACTGAGCACGCAGAACGCTTTCCCCAGGCTGGACAGGTCATCTAATTCCTTATAGACTGCTTGAACTGCAGTCTGCACAGGGCTTCTACTGCTGCTTCTTAAGTGCCTGAAATCCTCAAGACTGCTCCAATCCATCCTTTCCAAATGACCAGAAAAACTTCAAGTTGTGATGTATGACAATGCTCTCTTCCCACAGCAGGCCTCAAACACTACTCCTCCTCAAACTCTGAATGCAGTCTTTTTAGATTACAAGCAGTATCTGTTGTCCAGAAGGCTTTCTGAAGATGAGAGTGAGAGACTGAGAGACCACCTCATGAACGTCTTTCATATCCACGGCCAAAGCAAGCCGGACCAGAGGACATTCTAGGCCACATGCCACTTGAGAATGTTCTTTTCATACATTATTTGCTGTTCAAACTTCATGAAGATGAAGATACTTCTAGATTTATAGTGTTGAAAACAAAACCACAAGAACCATGATCCACAAGGCAGTCCTTTGTAGCATTTCTTGACAGTGATGCAGATGGTGCATTCCAGAACAAGCAGACATTACCTCACAGCCACAAACACCGTCTCATTTAGCTACTTTGCTAAGCATTACTTCCCCGAATGTTTCCAACGTGACCAAACACATGGCACAACATTCAAGAGGTAGAACAGTTGGTGATTATTTTCAAAGGGATTTTCATTTGCAAGCTGCACTCCACAAACACTTAGGATTAGTGACTGAATTCCTTTCAGTCTGACAATTACCTATTGGTGCTTGAAGTTACCTTATGTGAGGATTCAGGGTAATGACTATTTCAGAGGAAATTAAGTGTCTGAACACAGCAGTAAACAAGTCTTGAGAATTGCAGCAAAGTACACAACGGAGAAATAAATTCAATAAAAGGAGCACCTTTAAGGATGTTTAGAAAGAACATTATCTGAATTTGTTACTCTCTGCCTTGACAAAAACTACTAACTTGTTTAAAAAGGAAGCAAGTCTTCAAGGAAAGTAACACTGTCATGAGGTTGTCCTAAAGCACCCAGAAACACCAGTACATGGAGCAGAAAGCCTGCTATAACTCAAACCAAAGAAATTTTACTATTTGTGTTCACCATGAACACTACAAGCTCATTTTCTTATTCTTAAAGTTGTTTTACTCACTGACTTCAGTAACAGACATTTTTCTTTCACTTCAATGTCTTATGCTAACCAGACAAACAGATATCAAAATCCCAAGAGATATTTAATCATGATCAGTCGAGGCTTGTTCACCTTACATGAATGTCATCTCAAGAGACACTGCTGAGAAGGCCAATGCAGTTAGACCTCAACACAACCATTCAGATTACACATGGAGGACCAGAGTCTGAAATTCAAATGAACTAAGATGCCTTTCACTGCCTGAAGAGACAGCACCTCTATGAAGATAAGGAGCTGATGACCTTCAAGTTGCCAGCTTACATCTACCTTTTCAAGCACATGCCACAACAGACACGGATCATAGCAGCCTACAATTCTTTGACAAACTATCCTGGTATTGATCTCAGAACTTTTGCTCCAAATTCCTGTATTTTTAAAAACATTACACGTACGTTACGCTTTTACTTCCTTTTAAAGTCATAACATCGCATTTTAGGGTGTAAACAAACAAATATAGTTGCTGGCTAACTGCAAAGCTCTTTCCCATTAACTGGAAAGATGCCCCTCACATGTGCCAAGCAGACTGATGATGCATCTCACAAATCCAGGTTATCCATAGAATACCAGAGAGCTCATCGATGCTCCAGCACAGCAGAAGTCATATTCAACCCACGTTAAGGGAACAATTAACAGTTTTCAGGTAAGTCACTTCCCTGAAGTGTATTTTACAAAGTACTGCATTAAAGTATGATTTAAAACAAACAAACAAACATTAGAAACACACAAAAATGGAGAGCTGACTACTAAAAAGCCCTCCATCACGGACTAAAAACAATAAACAGTGTAACTGACAGCTAGACTTCACTTTCTACTGTCAAAGCCATGACCAGGAGAAAGCAATTCCAGCATCATGGAGACTGGGACAATTTGCTAAATGTGACATTCTGACTTGTCTCCAAGATCTTCTAATCCATTGTTTTTCCAGCTTTTATTACAAGTTAATTTACCCCAAAGATTTATCCTGCTGGACAGTAGCAACAGCAACGTGTTATTGTAAAAGGTCTTAATTCCTACCTTTCCATTCATATCTCTGGCAGCATCTTTTGCATCTGCTGGACTCTCAAATGTGACAAAGGCAAATCCTCTGGACTTGTTGGTTTCCCGATCTTTCATCAAAAGGACTGCAGAAAGAAAATCACGTTACCCTTTCCCAGAACTAGGCAGGAACATTTCAGCTTTATTTAATTTTTTAAGCTCAGAACTTCTTAGAGGACATGTAAGCGCCATCATTTCAGATGATCAACGCCAAAAAAAGTCATCACAGCTGTGCTGTTGTTCATTTTTATTATCTTAATAAAAAATTTCTCTTTACCTTCCACAATGCGTCCATATTTGCCAAATACAGCCTCGAGAGCTTTCTCATTAGTCTCTGTGTTCAAGCCCCCAATGAACAGCTTCCCAGGACGATCTGCTTCAACCATTTTGATGCTGTAAATGACCTATTAAAAGAGTAATGCTGTTATTAACAAAACATCAGACTACAACAGAGACTTCCATGCAAATTCATGGAATATAAGTGACTTTCTTCCTCAAAAGTACAAGCAAATTTCCTTGAAGGAGATGTTAATTAAGAAGTATGACATATAAAGTACATGAAAAAAATTTTTTTTTCTGAAAGTAGTATTGCCCTCAGTTACTTCTTCACATTATACAGTGTCTTTCAAAAATATACAGTTAACTTTGAAAAGTAGAACAAAGTACTGTTAAGATCAAGCAATATTGGTGAATATGAAAACTCTTTCAGAGGTGCTGTTCTTTTTACTCTTGATGTCAATCCTACCGCTCCTTTCCTTTAAATCTCATCGTGGATTTTTCAAGAAATTTACTTAATCTGTCCAAGTAATATTAAATTATTAACTTTTAAAGGCATCTTGGGCCAGTATTCCCAAATGAAGCCCATTCTTTGTATTATTCCAAGTATTTCCAGCCAAGGTCCCGGCCTACACAACGTATGAGCCTGAACAGACACCAGACGACCACTGCAGTTCTACACAGCAATGCCACGGCTAAACCAAGGCGGGGGCGGGAGGGCTTAAAAAAAAAAAAAAAAAAAAACACGAGCCGAAGACAAAGCCCAAGCTCTCAGTGCCTGGCAGGGCGCCCGGCGCCTGTGGACCAGCGCTGCCCGCTTGGCTCCAGGCCGATGGAGGGAAGCCCCCGGCACAGGCGCAAGGGGAGCGCGGACAAAGCGCTGCCGGGAGCGGGCGGCCGGCGGGGCCGGGCCGCACGGGGCCCGTGTGGGGCCGCGCTCCGGGACACGGGCCCGGGGGGCCGCCGGACCCTCCGCGGGCTCGGGCACCGCCACAAAATGGCGGCCGCCGTTGGCAGCAGCTTCTCTCCCTCCCCGCGCCCGGCGGCCGCCTCGGCGCTTACCCACCCCACGGCTCGGCCCCGGCCCGAGTCACTGGCCCCGCGATCCCGCCGTCCCCCACTCGCCCTCCCCGGGGATGCGGAGGGACCCCTGACACCTAAAATGGCGGCCGCCGCGCCTCACGCCGCCGAGACCCCCCTCTCCCGCCGCCGCCGCCGCGCGGACCCCGCCGCCCCACGCGGGGCCGGGCGAGCAGACAAACGGGCCCGGCCGCGCCTCCGTCCCGCAGCGACGGGCGCGCCACGCGGCTCCCTCCACGCGGACTGGGCCTCCCCCCGCGGGTCCCCGCATGGCCCCGCGGTGCCGCCCGCAGAGCCCCCAGCCCGCACTCACCTCCGCCCGCGCCGAGCCGCAACTGCGCAATGGGGACGAACAAAGGCGCTGCGGCCCTTTATAGCGATGACGTCACCCGCCCGCCCGAGCCCCGGATGCGGCGGCGCCGGGCCCGGCAGGGGGCGCGCGCGGGCCAGCGGGGCCGGGTAGGCCGGAGAGGGGGCGCTGAGGGGGGATCTCATCGATGCATGGGAATATCGCCAAGAGCATGGTGCCAGACTCTTCTTAGTGGTGCCCAGCGGCAGCATGAGGAATCGTAAACTAAAACACAAGTTTCACCTCAACATGAGGAAGAACCACTGAGAGTGGCAGAGCCCTGAAACAAGCTGCCCAGGGAGGGCATGGAGTCTCCCTCTCTGGAGGCATTCCAAACTCACTTGGACATGTTGCTGTGTCACCTGCTCCAGGTGACCCTGCCTTGGCAGGGGTGTTGAACTGGAGGATCTCCAGAGGTCCCTTCCAACCTCAATGATTCTGTGATTCTGTGAAGGAGCGGATCTGTCACTGCTTTGGAAGCAAAATCACTCACGGTACTGTCAGAAGTGTCTGTGCAGGAGCTTAACCCAGTTCAGCTGAAACAGCCTTAAAGGCGTTTTTAATTAGTTTGATCAATACGTGTCCATGTCAGTACCCCTTCCTTGGAGACTTACAGCAAACCAAACCAAGTGTGGTTTAAAATGAAATGTGTTTGTTGATAGCACAAAGTTTTGCACTGGTTCAACTAACTCCAGTTTTAAATTATTTATACCTGAAGTTCAGTTGTGGAGATTTTCTTTGGATGGCTAAACCTGATAGCAGAAAAGTTAGGGGGAAATACATGCATGCAAAAATTGGCTAAATTTTCATAATATGAACTTGTAGATTATCTAAACATATTAATAGTTATCAAGGCCTGTTTTCTTGGTCACCCAATCTAATCAACACCCAGTCTTTTAAGTTCTCCCTTGCATGTTCTCTAGACGTTTATTTCTGGGATGTGCCACAGGGTCTGTGCATCCCACAAACACTGCCCAGTGCTGTTACAGTCACAGAGCTGCATAATTGCTCCATCCTGATAACAGAACATCAGACTCTATTCCTATCTTCAGTTTTTCAGTCTCCTCTGTCAGCTACTGATATTCAGCTGCTCTTTGTGTTAGGGAAAGCAGGAAGCAATATCGTTTCAGACTCGCTCATAGTTGTGTTGAGAACACAAAGGAAGGGAGCTCTCAAACACTGCTCTAGACTGCAGTACATTCTTGAAGATGATCTCCTTTCCAGCGTGGATGTTCAGAGTTTCTGGATACTGTTACTGTGCATGGGAAAAGGAAAAGATGACCTTCGTAATGAAGTGGGCGAGCACTGCCCGTGATATCAATGCAGTTGCTGAAGAATGGCATTGCCAGATTCTCATCCAATTATCATATGAAAAAAACCTTCAAATTCTAGTTTCAATACAAAAGAATTTAAACTTCAGAGGCTCCCTGGGATGCATAGTGAAAACTAAAGCGAATTGTTAGTCCTGTAAGAAACATGGTAAAAAAGGTCTCTATGTCTGTGTGGTCTCTGTGTGCTTCTCTGACCCACAGTGTATCTGCTGACTGCCTCACAAGTAATTGGAAAGATAAACACGTGCAAACTAAAGTCTGTTTCTCCTTCTATGATTACAAGAGTAAAATATTTGGTAACTCCAGGCTTCATTTTATTAACATTCTGTACAGGTAGCTCGTGTATTACCACGTACTGTACATGTAGCTCGGTGGGATCAGCGTGAACATAATTATGTTTGAAACAGCATTTGAACATTACTGCTGTAATTGTATCAGGGCCTAATTCTTCTGTCCTTTGTCCTAAGGGATATCTTCATCAGGATTTTCATCAAAACCTAGGTGCATCCTCAGTGCAAAATGGAACAGAATTTTACCATGTCTCCCTGCATAGAGCATATGTAGTCTCACTCCAAATTCAGTGATACAGATCTTTTCCTAGAGGATTAGAGGATACATAACTCTTTAATTCTTACAATTCTTCCCCCTCCTTTCCTTTTTTTTTATTCCCATAAATTGATTTTTTGTAGAGGAACTACAGAAATCATAATAGAACAAACTGCAGACTGAAAGGAAACTAACCCCTCTTTAGTAAGAAGGTCAAGGCTGAAGAGCTATGACAGTTTCTTTTGCAAGTGATTTCTCAACTTTGAATTTTCTAATATGAAATTAAGGTAGTAATATGAGGTCCTAATACTGGCCCCTATGGAATGGGAAATGGACTCGGATGGGACAACTGGGGAGACAGAGACCCGGAAAATTCCACCAACCTTTACACAGAGGACAGCTGCTCTCTAACTAGCACAGATATACTTGCCCATGCATCATCACAGCTTAGGAAGTTTTCCTTACATTTTCCAAAGCAGAAAAAATGCAATTAAGTATGTTACTTATGTAACCCTAAAAATGAGCCCACTAGATGGGAGGGGTGGACAACAATCCATGAAGGTAGCATTTGCTGGATTTTCATGGTAGCTTTTGACTAAAATGTCACTTTCTCAAATGAATCCTAGGATGTTTAACAATGTGGTTGATTTTAAACTACAAACTTTTTCATGCAGAGGACAATATTTTGGATTTCCCTTGTAGCATGCTGCGTATTATCATCAAACATTGGCCTTTTACTAAGTTCATCATACTTGTGGTTTAAAATGGATAAAGGGTTTAGGAGAGCTGGGGGATGGGGACTAATGAATACATAAATAATCTGATCACACAGGACTCGCTCAGAACGAATAAAAAAAGAAATGTAATTCCCTTGAAATATAGTCAAAAACTAATAACTGAAAAGATCAGTTTAATACTTTCGTGACAAGGAGCAATTTTGGCATTGTCAGTTGATAGTTATTTATAGAAATTCAGCAAAAGTGAGAAAACACAGACTAGAGTGGATGAGAGCAGCGCAAAATAATTGTTTCTGGCACTGACTTTCTCAGCCATTTCTAAACTGGAACTCCCTTATGTACTCCTCCCAAATCATCTGTTTGGGATCTCATTGTGGCCCCTTTCACTTCATCAGTATGAGGTGGATCACAAGTCCCTAAGACATAGCTGGAGCTGCCTGAAATGACAACACAAATTTTCCAGGCTCATCTGAAGAGGCACAAGATCATCTTGTTCCAAACCGGCTGCCACGGGCAGGGACACCTTCCACTAGACCAGGATGCTCAGAGGGCCGTCCAACCTGGCCTTGAACATTTCCAGGGATAGGACATCCACGGCCTCTCTAAGCAACCTGTGCCAGGGCCTCACCACTCTGACCGTCAGGAATTTCTCCCCGATATCCCCCCTAACCGTGCTCTCTGCCAGTTCGAAGCCGCTCCCCGCTTGCCCTGTCACTCCCGAACCTCGGGGTGCCCTTCCCCAAGATGGCGCCCAGCGCCTCCCGCCCTCACCGCGCAGGCGCCGCGGCCCCGACCCGGCCGTGACGCGGCCGCTCCCGCCTTCGCCTGGGCTGGGGCCGCCTCCGCCTGGCGCTGCCCGGGGCTGCAGCCGCCTCATGGTGCCTTGGCCCCTCTAGGCTGCAAGATGAGGCTCTTGGCTGCCGCGCTCTTGACGGTGGCGCCGCTCTGCGCCGCCTTCTACCTGCCCGGGCTAGCGCCCGTCAGCTTCTGCGAGGAGGGCGAGGAGACCGAGAGCTGCAAGGTGAGAGCCCTCACGGGCGGGCCCGGCGCGGGCGGTCCCTCCTCAGCACCCGCTCGGGGCTTCCGCGGCCAGGGGGGACCGCCGGGTGTCCCCCACCCCGCTGCTGGACGCCCCGGGTGTCCTCCCGCAGGGACAGCCTTTGCTCCGGGAAGCCAGACATCCCCAGCGCGTATTTCCTTGGTTCTCTTTCTCCCGCTGAACTTCCCGGGAGGATCCTTGGTTCCTTGTTCCTGGAGTGGCCGGGGCCTGTCAGGAGCCAGGGGTAACTCCGCTGCGGGATAGCAGCACTTGCCACTAAGCTAAGCGTTTCGAATCAGCCACGCGTTTGTTTCTGAAAGTCTGTGTTTTCATACTTTTTCTTCTTTCCCGTTTCAGTCGCTAATTGAGCTCTTCGTGAACAGGCTGGACTCGGTTGAATCAGTTCTGCCATACGAATATGATGCGTAAGTACAACAGGCTTCCAGGAGCGTTTGGAAAGGCTGTTTTCTGTTCTCGGCTCCTGATACCGTACAGGTGTCAGTATTTTGGCTGTAGGGATGGAAGAGTAAATCCAGGTCTCAGCAGCAGGAATGAAGTACAAGAGAGTGGGAGGGATGAAGGCCACACCTGTGCCACCTGACCATCCTCTGGTGTTGTTAAAACAAGGCTGCAGGGTTTCTCATGGGTGCATTCTTTTGAGCTGAGTACAGGATTTAATGTTGGCAGTTTAATATATTTGAAAGTTCTTCCTGTTATGCAAATCTAAGGAGCTTTGAGTTTCTTTTTTCTGGTAACTAAAGCCCAGAGACTAGTCACTGTTAGTTCTCATTTTTACACCAAAGCTCTGTAGCTAATTCTTGGTTTGTTGTTTTGTTTTGGGTTTTTTTTGATTCTTGTCTGTGAAAATTGTTACCTGCTTTTGCATGTATTTATAGGCCTACAAAGCAGTGATACACATGATTTGCAGTCTTGCTGTTGGGCACACAGAAAAGAGAAACTTGCAGGTTGTTGTAGATCTTACCTTGTGCAGTGCAAGACCAGAGATTAGCTCAAAAAGCCCACAGTGTCTCTATTTATATTAAACTCTAGGAAAGCCTGTGAATTTAGGACCACTTGTTGAGAAAAAGTACTTATGCACCAAAGATAAGTGTGGGTTTGTTTGTTGTTTTTGTTTCTCCACAACCTACTGCTACCTCTGTTTAATGGAAATCCACATATTTGGCATAATTTAAATACTGAAAACATCTTTCTCATATTCAGCAGTTTTGGGCTGCATGTAATTGAAAAGAATTTGTGAATGACGTTTGACAGGTGATCTCAAAGAAGGCATCTCCCTTCTTTGAAACGTTTCACTTTAAATACTAGTTGTAAAGACTCCTTTAAAAGGGGTGTCATTTTTCAGAAAC